ATGGCCTTCACTTTCAAATAAATTCTGATTAATTTGACACTGATTTGACAGACGCTAAGCTTTCTTAGTAAAACCGATCCTAACCCTATCTCTTACTAGAAAGTGCGCTTTATCCTACAAGTTTGGCTCTAATTATAGGGCTTGATCTAAGTTATTGTTAAACTTTGAACACACCATAAAAGTCGAAGAAATTAAAAGTGGAGACAAAGAAGATGAAGCCAGTATCAATCTATCAATCTCACCATCAAAACCTGATTATTACTGTACTAGCTAGCTCTGACCTGATTAGAAAGCCAATACTCTATACTCAAGATGACGTGTCTTTTCGTGGACACAGCAATAAAAGTTGAAATTTATTTAATTTAAATAATATCACTGCCGGTCCTAATTATAAATTCTTATTTATAGTCTGTAAACGATATCTTATAATTAGACCAGAGATAGTACTATTATAATGTGATGGTGATATTTATGATGATGCTTAGTGGTGCTGAATCATAAGACAAATCAGATGGAAAAGCTATTAATATACTAAAACAAGTATACATATTTATATAGGTGGACATCTATTTGGCCAAGTAATGTGCTAGGTTGAATAATTAAGCTTAGGGTTAGGGGCTTTTTGTCGGGTTTAGTAGAAAGCATATACATGAATCTAAGCAATATGAGTAATCCAATATAATATTAGTTATATCACCTATCTAGCAGTGTTTGTGAAGATCATTTTTGAAAGACACGAATTGGTTTGGTTAATGTTTATAAATCTGGGGCTTAATTATTAATTAATTTGGCCTTGGTTTTTAGAGATAAATGAGTAGCTTATTTTGTTTTCTTATATTTGTAATTAAATTTAATCTTACATTTGAATTAAATAAGAAATTCATTTAGACTTACGATAACAAAAAGGATCTATCTATTGCAACAATAAAACGAAAGATGGCCGGGTCAAACGCAATAATGATGTTGGTAAAAGACATAAGTGTTTACTTACTGAACACAATAATTGCTTCTTCGATCATCTGATTATGGGGTTCTTAATTTTTAAAAAAGAAAATTAGCGTGAACCAATGACAACCGGTAAGAATCAAGAAAGTCTCGCGTAAGATTATTCTAAATGTCTCTTATCAGAATAAGTTCGGCAAATGATTTTTTTTTCCTAAATTTAAAAAATTGTTTTCCGACTTAGAAACAGAGAGACTGCATTATACACTTTTAGAGAGTGACTTATTATTCAGATGGGAAAAGGAACAAAAAAAAAAACAATGAGAAAGAATAATTACAAGATAATGGTCTCCACTCATTTGAGTACATAGCTCTCTTGAAGGAATTTCGCCTCTAAGAATATGTATTTTTTAAAAAACAATATTTTAAATACATCATATGGATATGAAAGCGTACGTTTTTAAAATCAGTCATATATACATAATATTAAAAAACCGATGATGACTTCCACCACCCCATTCCATATAGATATTAATCAAAATATGAGTGTATATATGTGTATATATATATATGGAAAGTTGTATATCTATCGTTGTGATCATAGATATAATGAAAACATGAATTGATGATTAATTAATGGGTCCAATATTTGTGAGAGCACTTATTATTTGGGGTTGAAGAGTCACAACGCACAAGGTTCGCCACAAAACTCCACCTTTTTCCACCTTGTGATGATGAGATTCTTTAATTAAATAAATTAAAGACAAAAAGCAATAGTTAACTCTTTTTCTCCCTTTTCGTGACATATTATTTCAAGGGTAAACAACCAATTTAATTAATTTGGAATATATACTATGCACATTGCTTTGTCCTCTCTACAGCATATATAACATGGTCAAATGCACCATATACATATTGCATTCCCTGTAACGTTATTTGTCTTTTCTTACAAAGTTCTGTTCACGCGTAATCATAAATTTTGAATTGTAATGTAAATAATTTTATATATAGTGACAACATATTCTCTCGACAAAGTGCCTTTTGATTTCATTGACGTTGTAGAGATTTCTCATCCATTTGCTAAATCATGGCCTACTGCTCCTACTTGTGAGCTACTTCGCGTGGTTTTGTCGATTAGACTTAACGCACAAAACGAAGAAATTTCAAACAATACATTTAACATATATCGCATTTTCTGTTTTGGTTGATATATACAGAATATCTTGAAATAATAATAAATAATAAAAGTAGTAGAAAGATTGATTTCTTCTATGGATATATGCAAATCCAATCCAATCTATTATTAGCCAACTTCACTTGACTTTAAGATGTTGTTTCGACACTAATCCATACAGTGAGATCCATTCAATAAAGGCCGGTGGCAACTATAATTACGTTTATATATTTTTTTTGCCAACAAATTACGTTTATATTAAAATTATAAGATTCTGACGTCCCTTCACTAAGTATGAGAAAAGTTTAATTAACAGGAAAAGCAAATTAATTAGTTTATGTGATTATAAATGTAAAGAACGAGAAATTATAAATGTAAAGAACGAGAATTTTAGAAAGTTGTGTGTATTCTTTCTTTTTATTATATACAGATATATATATATATATATATTGATGTATCAATACATGATATATATTGATTGTCATTCGTCACCCGCTAATATGCAAAACGAGATGTTCCCCACTAAATATATGTCTCCTTTTAACCTCTTTTGATAAAAATATTAATTATGCCCTAACCTTATTTAGAATGAGTACTAAGAGCAAATTAGTTTTGATTTTTTAAAAGTTCTCTTCACTTGTAATAAAAAACCAATATGGAATCAATTTGTACCCCAAACAATATCACCTTTAATTATGCACTAACGGAATGAGTTCTCAGAGGCTTGCCGGTTGAAGGAGGAAGATAAGGTTCCTCAGTGTTTTGCTTGCGAAACGGAGAAGATAAGAGCTATGGCATAGAGGAATCAGAATTTTCATTCTTTTCTAAAATTTAACAATAAGTTAACACTATATTAGTAAAAGGTTAATGACTGGATCAAGTATATATAAATTCTCTAACCTATATAAAAATTACTGATAAACTGGTTTGTAAAAATATATTTCAGCTAGAATGACCAACTAGTTATCCATCAATTTCTCCCTGATAATTTGCAATAATCTTATGCAGCTTTTTTTTGTTATCTTAATTTATTTTTCCTTAAGCTGCATTAAGCATATATATATATATATATATATATATGGAAGTGTAGATTATATATGGACTACATAGACCGCAATGGCCATCCATCATGAATACAATCCTAGAGACAACTTGATTAAATAATATGAATATAACTCTATAATTTATTAATTGTAGATTGATCTACTTTGCAAATCAAAAAGGGAGAAAATTATATACTAATTAGCCTTACGTACTTAATGTGCTTGTTTCATATACTATTTATTCTATAACAAACTCTTGTTATTAGTAATATTGTTAACACTTTAAAATCCATTTGTTTTGATTTGATTGGGCAAAAGTACATATTAAGTATACAAGGCGAAGTATCGAAATCTTCTTCATAAAAAAGAAGAAGCCTGACGATTATATCTATTATGCTGCACTTTTGAACATAGTTCTGTATATGTTTTTTTTTTTTTAATTCTATGCTACTATTACTGAATATTTATGGGCGGAAAATCCCTCCTTCTCGGTGTGTTTGTGAGAGAATGTGCTTAATTATTTCATTTGATGCATAAAAGCACCCATTAGCAATTATTTGGGCAAAACAACTTTTCTATGTATGAAAGGTATGAATTTTTTTTTTTTCGTGAATGAAAGGTATGAATTTAACTCTCTTGTTGTTAGAAGAACCAAACATAAATAATATTAGCATTTCTACATAATTGTGCTCTTTGAGCTAGTCAACTCTCTAATGCTTCAACTCAATAAAACCTTTTTTTTTTCAATATTTTTGTTGAGACTTGTATATACGTTTATACAATATGTCTATATCTCCAAATCTTAAAAGAGAAGAAGGATAAGAATGCTTCTGAAAGCTGAAATTGTTTTATACTAGTATAAATAGACCCGATAAACTCTCTATCTCTCATAGTGATTAGTCTGTCCATTATATTATTATGAACTATTTCCTACACCATAGAATTAATTGCAAAATTAAAAAGTAAAGAATATTTTGAAAATCTTTTAAGGGAATTAATTAAAGAAAAAAATAATAAAATTGAGAAACAAAAAGATGGATGACGATATAAAGACTTAGCAGGAACAGAACATTAATTTAATTACCAAGGTCTTCTCACCCATCCCTTTATTCTCTCTTATAAACTCTATTTAATATCTTTTCAAATATTTCCCATAAAAAAGAGACAAAAAAAATTAATCTATTATAAGTGTCATCTTCTCAGGACTTGTTATATGGGTGGTTCCTTTTTTTTTTTTTTTTTTTTTTTGAGTTCGTTTCAATCTGTGGATAGCACTATCATATATTCGAAAAACTAGCAAGCTGTAATTATATTATGTGGAATTCTTATCTCTGAATTATAACGAATATATACGAAGGGGTAGGGAAAGAAGAAGAGGACAATCAATCATATCGGATTTAGTACGAATAACTTTTGATTTTCTTTGCACTGGATGGATAAAAGTTGAACCAAATGTATCCACACGAATAATTTTATGGAACACCCAAAGAAGTAAAACGTTTCCAAAAATCATCATATAATTTATTCATGTGACTGCACCAATCAACCACCCAAGTTGTCACTATTAATTGGAAGTGCCGCTCACTGTTCATGTTCATGCAGGAAATGATCTAGAGGCTACCTAACATTCATCACAAACGTCACTGCGTTTTGAACCAAAGGCGCAGAGAGAGAGAGAGAGTTGCCAGGTAGTACTCTTATCCTAATCCACTTTCCTTTATTTTCTACCCACGATGGGGTACAGTGGAAGCAAATTTTCAGTATAAAAGGTGCATGCAGGTCTTTAGTTTTCCCATCCAGTGGTATCCAAGCTAAGCCTCTCTCTTTCTGACTCGTAGCTAGTATGGATACTCCATTAAAAATGAAAATTTTCTGCAGATTGGCTCTTGTACTTGTTCTATTATGTGCGAAGCCTGTTGTATCTTCGAGACACAGGCAATATTATAAGGGTGGTCATGGGAGGAAACTGAGTTCTGGGGTTAGTAATGAAGATCTTGTGACCGACTTGCCTGGTCAGCCTCATGCAGATTTCAGGCACTTTGCTGGCTATGTCACAGTGAATGAAACTAACGGAAGAGCACTCTTTTACTGGTTTTATGAGGCCATCACGAATCCTCAAGAAAAACCCTTGGTGCTTTGGCTTAATGGAGGTAAGTGTGTGTACGTGTGTAAGCTGCAGGGTGTTAGTACTTCATTAATCTTTTTCTTCTTTTTCCTCAGATTTGGTTCCTCTCATGTAATGTCATAGTTGCGTGAAGAAAGAGATAAGCATATATGTCTCTTTTCGTGACAGTCATGTCACATGAGATATATACAAATGAGTGGCTCAACACTATTTTAGTTGTCTCTGAGAATTGAAAGATGTGAGTTGGGATCTGAATAATTTTAAAGCCAAGATAATAAAACAATAATGAAAACGAAATGAAAAGGCCAATTTTGTAACTGTCATAGCTTTCATTATCTTCCTTTTCATAGTCTGAAACATACTACAGTTTTCATTATCTGCTTTTGTTATGTGTGTTCTTGGCTAAGGTGACAAAATGTTCTTTTGTTGCAGGTCCTGGGTGCTCTTCAGTGGGATATGGAGCAACACAGGAGATTGGTCCTTTTTTGGTGGACACTAATGGGCAGGGTCTTAGATTTAATAACTTCTCATGGAACAGAGGTATATGACTACTTATGAGGACCACAAACCAGACCAAGACATACACACACGCACACACACTCGCTCACTTTCTGGTGCAAACCCATCTCACTACAATCTAGGAAATATAAAATTCTGGTGATGATGAACCACAATAATTATGGTATATATAGTGCTCCATTGTTTGTCCCCACAATATTTGTTAATGTTATGAGTGTGATGATGCAGAAGCCAATGTTTTATTCTTGGAATCTCCTGTTGGTGTCGGCTTTTCCTACTCAAACACAACCAGCGATTATGAACATATTGGAGATGACTTCACAGGTTATAAACACTTGTAACGTTTATGTTACTTATCTAATGGCAGCCATTAAACTTTAATTTTAATATTGTGTTTTTAATAAAGGCTGCTTTTTCTATTCTCTGTAACAGCTAACGATGCTTACAATTTTCTGCACAAGTGGTTTCTCAAGTTTCCATCTTACAGAACCAGGACATTTTACATAGCAGGAGAGAGTTATGCAGGTATATTTATCTGCAAGATCTTTAAACAGTAGCACTCTTGTTTCTTAGTTGTTGATTTACCTAAGACTATTTGATAATGGAATGTCCATGTGGATATATTTTCAGGGAAGTATGTACCTGAGCTTGCTGAGCTCATCGTTGATAGGAACAAGGACCCTTACCTTCACATTGATCTTAAGGGTATCCTGGTATGGTCCTACATAATTTGAAAAGCATTCTCCAGCTAGCCAAATGCTTGGCATAAATTTTTTATAATTAACACAACCCTATACACAGGAATCCTTCTTTAGCAAGAATATTTGCCTTGTACGTGGACACGCAAGTCTGTCGTTTAAGTTCCTATGTGTAGGTTTTGAACACTATAATATCTATCACACACATCAAATCCCACTAACGCAAATAATTCTCCACATTTCATTGTTTCCTTTCAAGAAAAAAAAGTAAACAATCCAATTCTCTATCAACAAATTTTAACCGCTCAAAACAAATATTCTTTCAAAAAATTTCCTGTGTATTGTCAATTGATAACTGGCACTTCAATGGAAAAAAGGTGTACTTGAAACTTTGTTGAATAATTTCCTTTTTGGCAGCTTGGGAATCCGGAAACATCTGATGCTGAGGACTGGATGGGTATTGTGGATTATGCTTGGAGCCACGCTGTGGTTTCTGATGAAACTTACGTTCTAATCAGAGAAAGCTGTGACTTCAAAAGTAGTGACCCATGGAAGAACAAAACCTGTTGTGATGCTGTGGATGAAGTTTTCTCACAGTACGGCAAGATTGACATCTATAGCATATATACCTCTGTCTGCTTTGCCAGTACTGCTCGCTCCAATGATGATCAATCCCTCCAAGGCCGACAACGCGTCATGAAATATAAACGTTCGTCCAAAATGGTGAGTATATATAAGAAATTCTTCACGCATGTGTTTTGGAAATCCATTTGTCTTAGGATGTTTTAGTTGTAAGAGTTGTAACAGATCTATCTAATGGATTTGGTTGAGCAGATGCCTAGGATCATGGGTGGTTACGATCCATGTCTGGATGATTATGCGAGAACTTTCTATAACAGACCGGATGTTCAGAAGGCACTTCATGCCAGTGATGGTCACAGTCTTAAGAATTGGAGCATTTGCAAGTAATTATAAAATACTGTTCCGCTGATAATTCACCTTTTCCCCCCCCCCCCATAGCATATAATTAATAAAAATTCACATGCAGTGACAAGATGTTCAACGGCTGGGGAGATTCAAAGCCATCTATGATCCCTATTTACAAGAAGCTTATCTCGGCAGGACTTAGAATCTGGGTTTACAGGTAAGTATGACTACTGTCTAGTAATTAAATGTGGTGTCTACTGTTTCAAAGTTGATATATATATATATATATATAGCACACCCAGACAACTTAGGAATGTTGACATTTTCTATATTTGTTGGATCAAACTCTATGGTTCAGTGGAGACACAGATGGGAGAGTGCCAGTGCTGTCCACAAGATACAGCTTAAGCACTCTGAATTTGCGTATCACCAAGCCATGGACACCATGGTATCACGAGAACGAGGTAAAATATATGAACCTTAAAAGATGTTACTATGATGTCTTTCTTTGTTCATACATATTATTAATAATGAAGAATGAAGAGTAATTAGTTTGTTGATCAATCTATATTAAATTGTGATTGGAATAAACGAACAGGTAAGCGGGTGGTTTCAAGAGCACGAGGGGCTGACATTTGCAACGTTTCGAGGAGCGGGACATGCAGTGCCTTGCTTCAAACCAAGCAATTCACTCGCACTCTTCTCTTCCTTTCTGCTTGGACAATCACCACCTTCTACTAAATAACACTCTCTCTACAATGTTTCATATTATATATATATATATATATATATGGGGTTTTGTAACTTCATATAAAGAAGATTTTGGCCCTATTATATATATATATATATATATATATATAAAAGTAGCACTAGCATGCTAGCTAGTAGGACGTCTTGTGTATCCTATATATATGAAGAGCGACAAAACCAAATATAATAAGTGTCCCCATAAAATCAATGTGGTATATAGTTTTTGTTATTTCCTCGATGGGAGACAAAAATTGAATGGTTATATATATAGCCAGCTGTTTGGTAATAGACAATCAAGGGAGCTAATGAAGACTATATAATGAAATGAGGATCTTTTATGATCACTTGAACCTTAATTCGATTAAAACCTCATTTTAATTACATTAAAAAATTTTTGTATGTTTTTCAATTTTCATTCTCTAGACAATAATTAATGGTTTTTTGAATACCTAGTTATATTGATTAGCATACTTACAGATGATAATCTTAGACTAAAATATGTTTAAAAAAAATTATGTGACAAGTCATAAGGACGTACCCGTGTATTATAAAAAATAGAAAACAAGAATATGGATGGGACTCAAGTGCCTATACACGAGTAATTTTACATTTACATGTCAGCCACTATATATGCAGCACGCGAAGTTGTTGCCTAGTGACGTTGGCTTAATTAAAAAGAAAGAAAGAAAAGAAAAATTGCATAAACAAAGCATGTGCAAGAAATGACCAGTGACAAAGAATTGAAGAAAAAACAACAACATAAATACGCCACTATTTTTTACCCCTGAGCTGACTGTAGATGAGGCCACATGTTCATATAGATGTGTGTGTGTATATTATCTTGATGCTTATAATATATAAGAATTAGATAACTAATTTTTTAATATTAAAAAAATTAAATTAGTTATTTATAACAAATATGTGTTAATTTTTCTAAAGCACTTTCTTCAATCATATATGTTGAAACTCACATTGATAAAGGGGAGAATGGTCATGAAATCCCAATGAAAGAATATAATTATTAAAAAGTTTCAATGACAACAAAGCAGCCTGCAAAGACAAGCTTCAATATAGAAAATGACAATTGCTCACTTGTTATTGAGACTTACCGGTAATTTTTTTTCTTGAGATCTCATTGTAATTCTTTCTTAATAAAAACTCTTTAATATGTGCAATTAATGAGGATATTCTTAAAAAATAATTATGAATTTGAAAAAGAAAATGGATTGAGGTCTTTTATATACATATATACATATATGTTTGTGTGTGTGAAGAAAGTAAACTCCTTGTCTAGATTTCATATTTATGATTGGAAAGAATATTATTTTAATTGATATGTTTTACGCAATAAATTATATTTATCATTATCATAAAAAATAGTTACACGTCTCATTATTGAATTAAAAATAAAAAATAAAAAGGTTAATATAATTTTTGACCCTTTAAGTTTGCTCTCATTTTGGTTTTAATCCCTGAAATTTCAAATTATAGGTTTTGGTCCCTCAAATTTCTTTTCACTTATAATATTAGTATCTATAATCTAATAAAAACAATGACTATTTTGCCTTTTAAAAGACCAAAACCTATGATTTAAAACTTGAGAGACTAAAACCAAAATAAGAAAAAATTTAAAGAAGTAAAGATTATATTTATTCAAAATAAAAAATAAAGAAGGTGGGCCCATTCGGCTCATCAACCCACCACTAAAAGGGTGGCAGGTTAAGAAAATTTCAACCCACGCTCCTTGTGGGCCATCCCTTTTGTGACGGGCTGGATCACTTTCTATGGCTAGTGTGAACTTTCAAAACAAAATTTGAGAATTTTGGAATTTAAGAGATACACGCAAAATGTGACATGTTTAAAATTGCGCCAGTCAAAGATGTGAAGCTCGATTCAAAATAAAGTCTACTCAATTGAGTTATATCCTTAATTATTTACTTAGCATGAACAGAAGTGAAAACATGAAATTCCAGATTGCTTTTATATTTTATTCTTGCCTTTTGGCTAGTACTAATATCCTAGCTTCGGCTTGAAAAAAAAAAAGTACTAATATGCTAGTGGGTTGTTAAAGATGGACTATAAGCCGGTGAACAGTGAAGAGGGACGTATAGATAATCATGTGAAAAAACAAGCGAAAAAAAAAAGAACAAAAGAAAGAAACAAACGCAGGTTTAATATGAAACAATTTATTAAAAAAAAACCCACAAATTTCTGCGATTCTGTCTTTAAGATTAGAACCACTGCAGTTCTGCAAAATGTATATAATTTTGAATTTTTTTTTAAAAAAAGATGATCAATAATCACAGATTGAAATGTGATTTTTTTTTTTTATGTTCATACTTTTGTTATCCCCATTTTAAGTACATAAATACATGTACCTTAGAAGTTTTATTTGAAAAAAGGTGGTTGTATTGCAATATCACATGGAAAAATTTATGTATTAGTTTATAAGAAAACCAAATAGAGTGGGATTTAGTTAAAGAAATTAAAAAAAAATGGGAACTGAAAAAAAAAGTAAAAATATAAAAGAAACAGAGTAATAATAATAGATTAATAGTTACGGATTGGTAACAAATTGTAACACAACAAAAAGTTGATATTATTTTTAAGCCATTCTAGAATAACTGAGACTTCCTGTTGACCTCTGCAGTATAAGTATTGGAACTTGGCAACCTTCTTTATAGAGTTATCAGCTGTATCCCAGTCTACGAGTTTTTCAAAAGTTTTATTTTATTACAACTAAAAAGAATTTCTACCACCAATTACTTTTGTCAGGTCAAAAAAAATATCAATTACTTTTGTCTTTTGTTGACTATCGATTGTTCTTTTGGTGACAAAACCTATAGTCTATTATAGACTATTGACCTTTTTTTTGGGCCACATTTTGTTAATTAGTGAGCAGTAGTGTGACTAATGCTGGCTACTTCTAGTGAACTTTTTGAGTCACCCTTATAAGAAAATTTAATCCTTTACTATTTATTTATTTGTATATCCTTGCATTTTATATCGATTTTTAAGTTCTATACTTCAGCCAATTAATGATCAATCACTACAAAAAAAATTGACTTTCAGCGGCGACAAAAGTCGCCGCTGAAAGTACAAAAGTCGCCGCCGAAAGTTTTTTGCGGCGACAAGTCGCCGTTGAAAAGTCGTTGCCATAGCAGCTGTGGCTGAAAACTTTCAGTGGCGACTAAAAAGGTCGCCGCTAAAAGATACTTTTAGCGGCGACTTTTAGAAGTTTCAGCGGCGACTAGTGTTGCCGCCGAAAACACTTTCAGCGGCGTCAGTGGCGACAAAAAAGTCGCCGTAGAAAACACTTTCGGCGGCGACAAATGTCGCCGCAGAAAACACTTTCGGCGGCGACAAATGTCGCCGCAGAAAACACTTTCGGCGGCGACAAATGTCGCCGCCGAAAGTGTTTTCTGCGGCGACTTTTTGTCGCCGCTGAAGTAAGAAGAAGAATTGGCTTTACCAATGCCACGTCATCGCCGTCGGTGCCACGTCATCGTCTCCGGCCACCACGTCATCACCGTCGACCTCCACGTCATCGCCATCGGCGGCCACATAAATGTGTCTTCTTCCAGATTCGAACTCGTGACCGCCTCCTTTCGTGTCCAACCTTCTTGCCGCTGAGCCAGATTGAATTTGTTTATTAATATTGTAAAATAAAATATATATTATTATATTATACTTTCAGCAGCGACAAAAAAAGTCGCTGCTGAAGGTCCACTTTCAGCGGCGACAAAAAAAGTCGCCGCTGAAAGTCTTGGTTTCAATGGCGAACTTTCAGTGGCAACAAAAAAAGTCGCCGCTGAAGGTCCACTTTCGGCGGCGACCAAAAAAGTCGCCGCTGAAAGCCTTGGTTTCAATGGCAACTTTCGGCGGCGACCAAAAAAGTCGCCGCTGAAAGTCTTGGTTTCAATGGCAAACTTCTAGCGGCGACTTTTTTTGTTGCCGCCGAAAGTCGTTGCCTAAAGTCTGTTTTTTTGTAGTGAATAATGCCCTCTCTCACAATATTTTTGGTAGGTTAAATGGGCAACACATGTTCTTAAGTGGGGTTTAATTTTTGTTATAATCAGAAGAATAAAAACGGTAACGAAACTTTCATCAGTCTTTTAAGTTAGGAACTGGATTGAAACCTTATTAATGGGCATGTGTCGGCAAGCAATTTATAATTACTTATTTGACCCTCTTCCTCTAGGTAGCATTTGAACCAATAACATTATATTCAACTATCAAGGGCTCACAATGGACATCCCAACTTTGTCAATATTTTTAGATGTTTCTTTTTATCTAAATAATTAGTCAACGGATCCAAATTCAACTAAATATTCCGACATATAAAAAGTTTAATTTAATTGTAAGTAAGTGGGTGGAAATTTATATAGTCTAATGTGTGATCAATTAAGATGATAATAATGTGAGCACAACGATGAGAGGCTGATCTGATTTGGCCACTACATACACACACGTATGTGGTCAATGCAGATTCTGATCCATGCACAGTTAGTGCCACGTTCATTCTCTATCATTGTTTGTGTTTCCAAAACAATGTATATATGGATTAGACAAATTAAAGAAGATGAATTAAGCCAATCAAATGATCTCATGTAACAACCAAATTAAATTACTGTACTCAGAAGACTCCTGAAAAATGACCAGATTCAATGTTTCATGTGGCAAAATGAAAACGTGTCTCCTTGTGGATCGTGTTAATTGCTCACCATATATACACTTCATTAATTAATATTCTCATTTAAAAAAGAAAGTTGGAATTTTACCTTAAATATTGCAAAAGAAGCAATGATCTATGAGCCCATTCAGCTTAACGCACAAGATAATTAATCAGAATAAGTTGAACAAATATTTTCTTTTTGAATTTTCTAAAAGATTATTTAGTGACCTTCAAATAGAATTAAAGACTACTTTTGGAAGTTATATACGAATTATTATTCAGATAAGAAAAGAAAAAGAGAGAGAGAGAGAGAGAGAGAAAATGGTCAGAAAAAGAATAATTTCAAGATAATGATGACTACTCACTGTAGTACCTCGGGTCTCTTGATAAGAGCAACATCTCCTCTTAGAATTTGTTTGTCTTTCTTGTTTAAGAATAATGCATAATTTGTATGGATAGATAAAAAGTGTAAATTTTTAAATCAGTCATGGGAAGATAATTTAATTTTGATTTGAAACTCCGCGAAGGCATTTCTGAAGTTAAATTAAAATTAAAATTACATCCGTCCTATTACAAATAATATTTAGAAAACTAGGGATTCTTAATTATCAT